TAGAGTCACATACCCATGTTGTCCCAGACATACTTAAAATTTTTCTAATAACTGAAAATACATAAATTTAAGTTTCTCAGTTGCACTGGCTTCATTTCAAGTGCTCACTAGCCACCTGTGGGTAGAGGCTGCCATGTTAGGCTGCAGATATAGAACCTTTCCATTGTCACAATGCAGGTCTAATTCAACTCAAGAAACTGAGCAGCAGGTGTGAATTGGGTCTCAACCTTCTTTGTAGGGAGTTTCATAACCATAAAAAAAACCAAAAAACAAAAAACCACCCAGAACACTAACTTTTCAAAAGGCAGGCATTCGCGGGAATTTGAAGACACGGAGTACACGGAGTACAATGTAGACTGTCTAAGTATGTATAGAGACATTTCCCAGAAGGAATTGACCTTGTGTGTATGTATGCTTATATATATGGTGGTCACAAATGACAACATTTCAGTCAAGTAGCTTAAAACATGGAAGTGTTCAGGTTATGTTCAATGAGGGACTTTTTCTTTCTTAATCATGGTAAAACATACATCACATTAAAAGTTCCATTTCACCCATTTCTCAGCATACAGTTCAGTGTCATTAAGCCTGGTCACATTGCTGTGCAGCCGTTACCACCGCCACAATCCATCTCTAGACATTTTTCATGTTTCCAAACTGAAATTCTGTGCCCATTAAATGCTTCACTCCCTATTCCTCCTTCCCCTCAGCCTCTGGCAACCACCATTCTATTTTCTGTCTGTATACATTTGATTTTTCTAGGTACTTCATATAAGCGAAATCATGTACTTGTCCCTTTGTATCTGGCATATTTTCACTTAGCATTATGTCTTCAAAGTTCATCCATGTTGTGGCATGTGTCAGAATTTCCTTCCTTTTTAAGGCCAAATAGTACTCCATTATAGGTACATACGCACCACATTTTATCCATTCATTGTTGGACAGTTGAGTTGTTTCTCTTTTGGCTATTAGGAATAATGCTGCTATGAACATCGGTGTACAAATATCAGTAAAAAGCAGTGAGATTTTGGTTTTTTTACATAAACGTATTCGTTAAGCTTATACAATTTCCAAATAAGTAGCAGTGGAAATGTGGCTTTCACTAGACAACCCCAATTCAAGATCCATGAATAGTGGTTCTCAGTTCTAGTCATATTATCCGAGAGATTATGAAGTCTGCTTGTTTTCTTGCATGGAGAAGACATTTTCCATGTTCATTCTATGTTAGCCCTTCTCACCATCTAATATGCCACATGTTATTTTTTTGTTGTTTATGTTTACCTTCACCCCACTCTCCCTGATTCTTCTGCCGGAACGTACATTCCATGAGGACAGATTGTTTTTACTGTTTTGTTCACTGTTGGATTCTTGGTGCTTAGAACTGCCTGCTGCACAGAAAGCAGTCAGTAAGATATGTTGAATGAATGAATGAGTGAATGAATGAATGGTGCTCAAATGTTACCCACCTCTGTGTTCACTGGATATCATTTCAAAGGGCTGTAGATTTGGCTTCTTTTGCACATCTCAGTATATGTTTTTTATCTGGGGTAGAGCATTCTAGAACAAGGAAATGTTTATAAGTGTTGTAGACCTTATAAATCCATCTGAAAGCAAGTCATGAAAAATAATTAAGTGGTATTGGGATATGAAAGAAGATGGAGATGTACTAGATAAAATACACAAAAGGAATTTTTATCTCCCTCTAATTTGACTGTATTGCCCCCAAAGTGGTATTGTATAAAACATCAGAAAAATCTCTATTGATAACATAGATTTGGGGAGAGATAATAAAAGAGTCCTTTGACCTTAACAGTGGAGGTGAAATGACCAATTATTATAAAAAAGATAGAAACAAACGAAATCATCACTTTCTAAAATATAAGAACATTTAATTGTTTCCTCTCAAGGCAGCTATCTGTTGGTTTTTTACTGTAGTCAGTCTAGAAACTACTTTGCAGAGTCTCAGTCTCTGTCTTTTTTGTGAGAGACACACATTTGGGTTTTAAAAATAGCAAGAATTTTAAAACATTATTATAATTTAGGGGGGCACCTGGTCTCTCTTTTTTTTTTTTTTCCCCTAAGCAGGGAAACTTGACCCTACAAGGTAAAATGACATCGGAAGCAGTTTCAGCCTCTGGTTTTGTTGGAGTGGTTTTTCCTTTGCTTGGATTTTAAGTAAGGATATAATCTCAGTTCCAGTTAGAAAGAGAGATCACAATGCCAGGTGTCAAACCCACAAATCAGTCCTCTCCTTAATTGCCAGAGTTGACATGTCCCCATGTCTGTCCCAGAAAATTCTAAACGCTCTTTTATTGACGATGGGGAATTAAATTTCCTGTGTAGACAAATTAACTTCTAAATTATAAGAGAAACAAACAAAAACACACAGGGTGGACTAGTGGGGGGGTGGGAGGAATGCTTGTTGCAACTTGAAGCCGTCTTAAAGTCATCTCTCCTTTTCTTTTCCTCTCCATTTTTTCCATAGATATTTCCCCCCCTATTTGAACTCATCACCTAGTTATTACCTCCATTGAAGAGTAGGCTTTGGTCTCCAACTCTAAAAAAACATCTCTTTATGCTAATTGAAATGAAAGAGGTAAACCATAGGTGACTATTGAAATGAGGAGCGTTTTAAACCATGTAGCTGTTACTGTACGTGTGGGCAAGGCTTGAAAAGGAGGTGGGGGGCGCCTCAGAGGGCTTGAAGACTTTATTGTGTTTTAAATAAAAGGCCAGCTTAAAAAAAAAGATGTGAATTGGCTTAGAGTAAAAAAGATAAATTAATACACTAATGAAAGAAAAGAATATGTTTTGTAGATAGGCAAATTATGCATTAAAATTTTACACACTAAATCCTGCCTCTGAGAGGGTTTCAAGCTTAATATTGTCCCCTGAAACTGGCGATTGCAAACCCTGGTTTTTGTCACACACACACACACACACACACACACACACACACACACACACCCATGTGTCTCCAATGATCTCAGAAATGAAAATAATCTCCAAATAAGTTTAATTTTGATTCAAAAATAAGTGTGCCCACATGCCCTGGTTTTTGTCACACACACACACACACACACACACACACACACACACACACACACACCCATGTGTCTCCAATGATCTCAGAAATGAAAATAATCTCCAAATAAGTTTAATTTTGATTCAAAAATAAGTGTGCCCACATGCCCTCTTTATTATTTTTCTGGTTGGAAAAAAGAGAGTGATGCAGAGAAGCCAAGGTTGTGAAGAAAGTTAAAGATTACCCTCATCTGAGCCTTAAACTGACACGTTACAACACCTTGCGCAGGATGCAGAGAAAACCGTGTCCCTTTGACTTCACTGCATTCACACCGCTCCCTATGCACAAGAAAGACCAGATGTCTGATTTCCAGAATATTAGGCGTTTTTTCCTTAGTACTTAAAATTTATTTATTTTTTGAATTTTGAAGAAAAACTGCAGCTCCTTCTGATCTTTACTTTTTAGTGTTTTACAGTTTAATAATTTCATCTACCAGAAGTGTTTCAGCAGAAAATGAGTTTTGAATATTTATGCATTTGTAACAATCCAAAAAAAAAGGCTTGGGAAAAAATTCTTTTGAGTTTTATTTTGAAAACTCTGTTCTAAAGAAAACACAAATTCATAGTTTTCGTGGAGAATAGTGGGCACAATGTAGTGTGTGTGAGGACACTGAACTGGGAGGGGAAAGGTATGAGTAAACAACACTTCCTTTCTCTGATTCCTACTAATTGTAGAAAAAATATATACCTTATATATGGTATTCCTTCCTTTCTTCCAGAAAACAATGTTTGGAAATTCCTGTGTAAAGCTAATTTGCCATGAGAATATAAAGCCCTTTAATGGGACATCCAGGTCCCTATGGGAATTTTTTTCAAAAAAAAAAAAAAAAAAACAGACACCATGTGGTGCAATCTGTTACAGTCTACAAGGCGGAGGTGGGGAGGGGAGCTCCGTAGGGGCCAGGAATAAAGTCATCTCTGGGAGTTTTCGAGGTATTAGCTAAAATGGGGAAAATGGTCCAGCCGAAGCCTGCAAAAACACCTTCCCTTCTGTGCTCATTTGTGTCCCAAGGCGTATTAAACTCGGGCTTAAAAAAAAAAAATTATTTAGCAAGTTAGTCAAATTAGGGGAGAAAAAAACCTGAACCTTTTCTGAGATGGTTACATTGCCATTCATTTTGTATTTTAATCTAACCTACTGGTGATTTAATTTACAGATCTCAAAGGAAGTGTACACTCAAATATTTGAGGACGTTAGCGTATCAACCACTGTGTAATTTTGGAATGTGCCTACTCGCTTGACACAATATTTTACCATCTAACAAATGTTTAGCCTTTTTTTCACTTGACTAAAGAGAAATAAGTTTCACATTGCTTCATTCACCTTCTTATGTGCATATGCTGGGAAAGATTGGATGTTAAAAAAAAAAAACTTCCTCATGTTCCTTTCTACTACATCTAAATCTGTTTACCAATTCAAAGCTGCTAAAAAAACCTGCATTCTCCTGCTAAATCAACTGGATGGCTAGAAACCAAACTGTAATGTAACAGAAAAAAAATTATCAATTTATTTTCATGACAGAACATTCTTGAGAAGGTATAAAATTGTTCTGGTTGCTATGCCAGTTTTCTTTTTTCTTCCTTTCTCTGTCTTCTGTTTTTAAAGGATTTCAGCTTTTAAGCTGATACTTTTTATAGTTGTATAACAGTTCTAATATTTTGTGATTTGTATTGTGACACTATAGATGAAATTGTCATCGGACTGACACCCTGTGCTGTTTATTCCTTAATTACAACTGTTAGCACTGTAGAGAAGTGTGCTAATCTGCCAGCACATATTATGAAAACAACGTTATTGTTACCCACACCAACACCCACTCAACAGGATATTTCCAAGATGGTAGTTTAAAGGGACTTATCGGCACAATGGACGTGTCAGTGTAGTTTTTGTTGTTGTCTTAAGAACACAAACCAGCTTGAGATTTAAAACATTTAATGACAATATAGCATAGATAGATACCTTTTACTAGTGGATACTGCCTGTGTAGTTAGAAAATTATAAAATTTTTTTCTAGTGTTCCAAGAATCTCAAAGCTGTGTAGGGTTGTGACCCAAAGCTTTCTGACTGACAGGTTTTTTTCAGAAATAATGAAAATAGAAGGGAGCAGGAAGGGCAAGTTTAAAGATGAAAAGACAAGAGAGGGGGGTGATTTGCATTCATGGCGTTGGCAATCCTTAACCAACCAAGTCAAAATCCGGTAACCACTCCCAGCTCCAATAGTTCTCCTTTTTCAAAACCATAGTCTTATAGTCCAGTTCTTTCTGCCTCCAGGACTTTTAGAAGGTTTGATTATCTGTGAAGCACAACATTTTATGAGTTTATTTTCTGGGAAGTAATATTATTTTAAAGCAGTTAAGTGTCACTATCTTTTCATGTGTTAAAAGAAACCATAATAGTAAGCAAAGAACAACTTTGATTCTATACCTTGTCCCTTTAATAAAATAACTGAAAAGTGGAGATTCTAGAAAACTTTAAGATCAGAACTTATATAACTCTTTAGAAGAGAATGATTGTAATTTTTTTTTTAAAACACACACTGACTTAAAATAATTTATTTAATAAACTGGCCACCTTTTAATATTAGTTTTGAACATGTCCATGGGTTTGGTACAAAACACACTCATGACCTTGAGAGTCATAGGTGATAGACTGAGACTTCCCAGTACGTGCTCATGTATTCCTGTCATTTAGGAGATGATGGAATAATATGAACATATCCAATTCCTAAAGTCCTTGCAATCACCTACATAGTCTTTAATATTCAGCTTTATTAAACAAGTTTTTTGAAGTAGCATGTGAAGAAGTTATTGCTGTGCCTCATTTTGAATGCTTTTTTCTGCTTCATTTTGATTTTCCACATCAATGGGATATGGTGCTCTTCCTAAAAGAAACTGTTCCCATTTGGGAATATGTTCTTCTACTGATGCCCAGTAACGAGTCTGGAAAAAAAAAATCCAAAAGTAAAAAAGCATATCAAGCAATTGAACTTGGCTCTTCATAATAGTCTAAATGTTTATTCACTTAAGTGTGTGTGTGCGTGTGTATACACACACACACACACATATATGTAGAATGCATTTCCTCTACAGAATATTTTATGTTAATTTTAGAAAAAAATCTGGCTACTTACTAGTGTTAATTTTCAAATTTCTCAGTAAAACCAGAGCCTGGCAGAATTACAGGTTTTAAAATTTTATTGTGATTTTACACGCCCTCTTGTGGCCAACTTTGTGATAATTGCCAGTAGTATGCCAGCTATATGGTTGCTAAATGTTTAATATTCTAAATCCCATACCAAATGATTACCCATACTGAAATTACTTCAGTAAAATTATTTAACATAAATAAATGCTTTAGACTTGACATCAAAAGATTTGACCTGGGATGAGATCAGGAACTAAAATATAACTGGTATCTTGTAGTGTAGGATTCAGATAAATTAGATCCTTGATTGTATAGGAAATATGTATCCACTGTACCTTTTATTTTTACTTCTAGAGAATGAAGAAACCCACTATATCTTTTAAAATAACATTTTGATATGACTAACTTTTTTCTCCCACTTTTTGGTATCAGAAAATAATATAACTTTTATCATTTTTAATACGAGTAGCTTAGAAGTTAAGATTGTGTCACTTGTCTGATGGTAGTGGTCTGTAGGCTATAGAAACTCACGCAACGCTGCCATGCCGAGTCTAAGAGCTTTGATAGTTTCTTGGGTGACTGCCCTAAGGAGGTCAAAGAGAACTGCCAAAAGCTCTGTGTCACAGGAGGGCAATTTATATTAGATCATCACTATCAGTCTCATTTTGGGAAATCCAGCCAATGAGTTAGCATTAGAAACAAGTAATTACTCAAAGAGTTAAAAAGTACGGCAGTTGTGAAAGTTGATCCTATGTATCTATACATTTACGTATGTGGTCTGAGAAGCAGTGCAACATAGCTGAGAATAAAGGTCATCCTGCCGTGCTAGACTAGTTAAGAAACACACCATCTGGGGCCTGTGGTTGGGAGTTTCTCTGCCATTCACAGCTGGATTAACCCCTATTGTGTGGGCCCCCTACGTGCCAGAGTGAGGTATTGGAGAATTCAACAAAGAAAAAGACATGCCCAGGGCACAACTTTGTACCAGTTTTTTTCCTGTCCTTGATCACTGCCTTTTTTTATTACCCTAGATGACACTGAAAATTGAGGGGCAAATTGTCAGCCTTTCATTTTGAGTCTATTCATATCCCTGGTTGGGCAGAGAGCAAAACTGTATTTGAAAAAGGTCATTAAAAATACAAAAGGAAACTATTCTGTATTTAGTAAGTTTCCATTCATCACCAACACATTCATATACAAAATATAGTTTATTTTTGCCAACCATCGTCTCAATCTGTTCTTGAACTGAGCAAAATAAAATGGACAACAGCCATACTACACTGTATGATAATATGCATTTAAATAGCTTTGGTTCAATTGTTGGTGAAAGGACTAAACTGCTACTTCTAACATCAGCCAACAGGAAACGTACTTGGGCTAGGCATGCTGTCATCCTAAGAGTTAGTGCATACTGTCCGTGATGGCTTCGCAGAAGAGCTGCTTCTAAGTGACGAGATGAAGCCACACAAATCTTTATAAAATTTCCACGTGACAAAATTTTTTTAGATCAAGATACTTCTCGGCTGGGCGCTGTGGCTCACGCCTGTAATCCTAGCTCTTGGGAGGCCGAGGCGGGCGGATTGCTCAAGGTCAGGAGTTCAAAACCAGCCTGAGCAAGAGCGAGACCCCGTCTCTACTATAAATAGAAAGAAATTAATTGGCCAACTGATATATATATAAAAAATTAGCCGGGCATGGTGGCGCATGCCTGTAGTCCCAGCTACCCGGGAGGCTGAGGCAGAAGGATCACTCGAGCCCAGGAGTTTGAGGTTGCTGTGAGCTAGGACGCCACGGCACTCACTCTAGCCTGGGCAACAAAGCGAGACTCTGTCTCAAAAAAAAAAAAAAAAAAAAAAAAAAAAGATACTTCTCAATTACCTACTATATATAAAGCATGGTACTGTGGACATATAAATATCAATCAAACACATCTTTATTTAATTGAATAAATAAATCTGGGAAATACATATAGTCATTGTTTAACTTAATATACACTCCTAACAAAACAGGATCTCTTTTTTCCTTAAGATTCCTCTTTGTTCCATAATCTTCTTACCTCAAGAGAAACCACCTCAGGCCGTGGAATTGGGTGAATCCTGGTCTCTAGAGACTTTTCTGCTGCTTCTATATCCTGTAACACATACCAGCATTTTATAACCAAAGTGTATTTGTATAATATGAATGACACCTCTAGTAGCAATATCTGTATCCTAAATTGCTCACCTCAGCTCTTCTCTGGATAATACGATTCGAACTGATGGAGGGACATTTAGGTAGGAGAATTGATCATTAACCCATTTCAAATAAAGAGAACAGGGTTTCTTATTTTAACATAGAAGGAGGTGTGGTCCTTCTAAGTTCTGTCTTTTCACTTTGAATAGCTAGTAAATGCCAGTAATTCATGGCAAAAAGAGCTTCCTCTAAAACTGCTCAGAGCATTAATTTAGCTCTAAAATCACCTAAACACAACCAGATGGATAATTCAGATATAAAAACAGTTAACATACGCAGACTCACCCTGTGCTAACCTTAAAAGTGAAGAGTTCTAGTCTCTCCAGATGATGCAAATGGTATACTAATGGCACACATTTCACTTGTTCAACATTCCGTTTTAAAATTTTACATGTATGCAAATATTCTACACATTTAAAAGAAGCTCAGTGAGGTACCTCAGTGCTTTGTGACAAGAATCTTTTCATTATGCCATGTAGATTTTTTTTAGTACTAGATTTCTAAGTTAATTTCCATGGCAAGTTTTACTGCTAGGTAGTATATCATTCAGCTGATGGCATTCAAGCACTGTGTATTGATTTGTAGTTTAACTCGTGTGTATTTTCTCTTGTAGTTGTTTTAATAAAAACACCAGGGTAACTAAACTGAATTCATACCCTGGTAAAGATTTTTACCCTGATACATACATGAAGCACATGCCCAAAAAGGTAGGACTCTGGAAGTTGTTACCGAAAGCGTTTGAGCCCCATTTGATAAGTGCTCCCCAAATCAGCACGCATGTTGTGTTCTGCCCCTTATTATGTTTGTCAGCTTCACAGCAGCCTCGGGGTCAAAGGCCACATAAATCTTGTCTCTCCTTTGAGCTTAGTGGCTTGATAGAAAAGAGAAAGTCCTCTGATCCATGTACAAGCACTGGAGCAATCTAAACAGAGGGCTGTTGGACAGACGGAGAGAGATGGAAAAGGGCGTGGGAGTGGGGTGTGAAGAAGCCAATGCTGAACAGGAGAAAAGAAATAGCAGATGGTAGCGGCGGGAGCAAGGAATGGGTGTGAAATGTAAAAGGGAAAAACAGGAAATTCCCTAAAGGGACTCCCCAAAGTTGCACAACCATTAATGCACCTGCTGTCTAGAGGAAGTTGATTTGAAGGGGAAAAAAAGCCATCAATTTAGGGATGAGAGGCCGATGTATTAGCATGTCTATCCCACACCAGAAGTTTGCAGCTGAGAAGCGTGCTAAAGAGCTTCTGATGCCTGTACTGCAACCGAAACAGAAGACTAATAACGTCTCTGTGATTACATTGAGATTTTACCAGGTCCTGGAAAAAATTTTTAGTTGTAGAAATCAAAACACAAATAGAATAATCACAACCTGAATTGTGTCATTATTCTAATAACAGTTACAAAGTTAGTGGCAGTTCTAGGTGCCATCAACATTGTAGATGAATATTATAAACATTTTCCTTGGAGACAAGAAAATAAGGATACTGAATATCTATAATAGAAGAGCAGATTTGTGAGCAGAAGAGCAGATATGAATAGGGAACATGTGGTCTGGTAAAGCAAGCCTGTGGTTAGACACTTGACTGTCATCTCTATAGCATTTTGGCTAAGGATTATGACTCTTCTGAGAAACTTCTTCCTGAGCTTAAGTGATATTTACTTACCTCTTTGATTCCTACTTTTCTTTCTCTTCAGCTGGCTCATTTTTCTCTCATTGCTCCTAAGCGTGGGCTTGCTTAAGATTTGTGACATCTGTCTTCATATTTTTACTTTCTTTCTCTCAAGATTGTCTCTTATCTAGCTTCAACTACCTTCTACTATAGAGGGATGGCTAACCTTTCCAGCCCTTAATTTCTCAACCTAATAAAACTATGCTCATCTTATTTCTAATGATGTATTTTTTTTTAATTTTTTTTTTTTTTTTGAGACAGAGTCTTGCTCTGTTGCCTAGGCTAGAGTGCCATGTGGCATCAGCCTACCTCATAGCAACCTCAAACTCCTGGGCTTAAGCCATCTTCCTTCCTTAGCCTCCTGAGTAGCTGGGACTACAGGTGCACACCACCAGGCCTGGCTAATTTTTTCTACTTTTAGTAGAAACGGGGGTCTCACTGTCTCACTCAGGCTGGTTTTAAACTCCTGAGCTCAAGCGATCCTCTCCACCTCAGCCTCCCAGAGTACTAGGATTACGGGTGTGAGCCACTGCACCTGGCCTCTACCAATGTATTGAACAAATCATAGTGGGAATTCTATCCACCCAGATACCTGTGCTGAATCCTCTATCTTTACCTCCTCTTATTCTCTGCCGCTTAAAATTTCAAAGCTCTATAGATTGTTCCTTTGGGATGTCTCTTCTAGCCTTTCCATCTCATTCCCAATGCTATAGTCTTTCTTTCTTTCTTATTTATTTATTTGTTTGTTTGTTTGTTGTTTGAGACAGAGTCTCAACTGTCACTCGGGTTAGAGTGTCGTGGCATCAGTCTAGCTCACAGGAACCTCAAATTCCTGGGCTCAAGCAATCCTTCTGCCTCAGCCTCCCAAGTAGCTGGGACTACAGGCATGTGCCACCATGCCTGGCTAATTTTTTTTCTATATATGTTTAGTTGTCCGACTAATTTCTATTTTTAGTAGAGACAGGGTCTCGCTCTTGCTCAGGCTGTTCTCACTCTTGACCTTGAGTGATCTGCCTGCCTTGGCCTCCCAGAGTTCTAGGATTACAGGCGTGAGCCACCACGCCCGGCCCCTACAGTCTTATTATTACACTTATTCATTAAACAAATACTTGCTGAGTAAGCGCTTACTCTGACTCATGCCTAAAGTACTCTCATTTTATTTCAATCCATATCTAAAATGGGATTGATTAGTTTTTCTAGAGAACTACTTTAAATATGTCCTTCCCTACACTAAAAAAATCATCAATAGCCACTACATAGAGGATGAAGTGTGAGTTCCTTAGCTTGACTGAAAAAAAAATCTCTGCAATTAGATCCTGGCCGTTTGTAAGGCCTTAAAAGTAAGTTGTATCCTAATACTTCCATCTAAAAATTTTTCCTTTAAGACTACATGGGACTATGTCCCATACAACCTCTATGCATCAGAGTATCTAAGAATGCAGGGCTTACAATAGGTACCTTAAATATTCACTAAATGAATAAATTTAAGATGTCAAAGTTTCCCGAGTATAAACTAAAAACTTCAACAACAATAAAAAAAGGCATCCAAGGTGGGGACAGGAAAAAGGGGAGAAAATGAGAGGTGAGGTTTATGTGACTGCACCTTGTTACTTACTTGGTTTTATGGATTTGTCGCTAGACCATTTAACATTTTATATAGGTATAGAATAAATAAGTCATCCCCCCAAATTGGAAACCAAATGAAACAAATCTATTATCTAGTTGGTGGCATAACCACACAGAGAAGAACTACATCAAGGAGTCTTAGAATACAGTATTTACTGGACATGTGCATTATGTCCTAGAGACAAAAAGAATTGTAAAAGTATCTTGCTGAAAACCACTCTCAGTAATCATATTGTTGATGATAGTGATGTCTGTATCATGGAATGATTCTTTGGGCACTGAGATTTTTGGTGTGAGAAAAAGAAGTGAGAGGCACAAGATCAATGATTTTAAGAAACTCGGAATCCTATAATTGAATTGGAAGTACTGATATATGAGCTCTTGATATATTTTATCTTAAAAAACAAAACAAGTTGTAATAAACACCCCCAAGTGTCCAGATTGAGGGCTCTAAATATACTTCCTGACAAAAGGAACCAGGGCTTCTTGGAGCAATGGCCAATTCTAGGTCTGGGCAACAAATGTACACAGTAAGCCTGGAAGAGCTCATCACATCAGAAAGAAAGAAATTATCCAAGACTGTGAGGATCATGTCAAAAGCATTCAGGAGCTAACTTGAAGAGTCTTCCACTTGGGAAAAATGGAACAATCTGAGCATAAATAAGAATAAAAATTGCAAGGGATCAAAACAATTCAGATCCAGATAGATTAAAAACAAAACACTTCATTGGCTACCTTTAGAGAATGGCAGAGAACCAAACAATTATTTTGAAAACTACAGGGAAAGAATCAAACACTAATCGTACTTTTTCTTATATGAATTGTACTTCAGCGTAACCAAGAAAGTGATGAGAGGATTATCTTCATATAAATAATAAGCAATTAAATGAGCAGGAATAAAAGAATATATATGTAGTTTTTGAGGCAGGGTAATCTTACTCTGTTGTCCAAGCTAGAGTGCAGTGGGGCAACCATAGCTCACCATAACCTTGATCTGCTGGGCTCGAGCAGTCCTCCCACCTCAACCTCCCCAGTTGCTGGGGCTGCAGGCGTGTGCCACCACACCAGGCTAGGTTTTTTTCTTTTTTTTTTTTGTAGAGATGGGGTCTCCATATGTTACCCAGGCTGGTTTCAAAATGTTTCAAAATTTGCTATAAAAATTAGTAATTAGGTTGTTTTGATGGTAGTGGGTTATCAGACAATGCCCCACTGCTAAATTTGACTGGCTTTAAGAAAAAAATTAGTAATTAAATATCTTATATTTTTTCTTCCTAAGGCCTCAGAATTCAGTGTGTATTTTACACTTACAGCACATCTTTTTTTTTTTTTTTTTTGAGACAGAGTCTCGCTTGTTGCCCAGGCTAGAGTGAGTGCCGTGGCATCAGCCTAGCTCACAGCAACCTCAAACTCCTGGGCTCAAGCGATCCTCCTGCCTCAGCCTCCCGAGTAGCTGGGACTACAGGCATGTGCCACCATGCCCGGCTAATTTTATATATATATTAGTTGGCCAATTAATTTCTATTTATAGTAGAGACGGGGTCTCGCTCTTGCTCAGGCTGGTTTCGAACTCCTGACCTCAAGCAATCCGCCCGCCTCAGCCTCC